GAAACAATTAATATTCAATCAAAGAGATCCTCAATCGCGGTAGATATATTAGGGAAGGTTCCGTAACCAGGATATTGATAAGATGTTCCATTAAATCTGGTTACTATCAGAATATTCAGGAGTTTATGTATATCTATGAGAAATACGAATCTTCATTAATGTTTCGTTTGTCATAGGTGATGGATGGGGAATGCAAGGAAGTGCACCTAATGGCTTGGGTGGTGGCGGGGGTAACACAGGAATAGGTGGTCCACCTATGGGTGGGAACAATCAAGGCAACCAGGGCAACATGAGTGGAAACAAGACCAGTACACAAGTCACCATTCCTAAAGACGTAAGTTGACTATAAGTTGCTTACACTATATTTTTACAAATATATGTAAAAATATGTTAATAATTGTTATAAATTCTTTTTGTTATATTAATAATAATCGCTTTCTTTGATTAAAATATTTGTTCTTAATTCATATGTTGAAATAGAACATATTTGATTTACAAAATCTTTGTACACAGTTGGCCGGAGCTATAATTGGCAAAGGCGGCGCGAGAATCAGAAAAATCAGATCCGATAGTGGTGCTGGAATAACTATAGACGAGCCACTGCCTGGCAGTAACGATCGCATCATCACTATCACCGGAATTCCCAGTCAGATACAAATGGCCCAGTACCTGCTGCAACAGAGGTAATTATTATATATATTTTCACATTTAACATTAAAAAAATTGTTTTTTATTTCATGTTAACATTATAAAAATCATCTTTATATTATATTAATAAAATTGGGTATTATATATTTATAATAAAACTTACATTAATAAAATAAAGATAGAAGAACATATTATAAAGATATGATATTTAAGCATATATAATTCTATGTGTGCGATACGAATTCTATAGGAAATATAAATATCAATTAAATGATATGAGATTAAGAATATTTATCAAAGGAAGCTGTCGTGGTCATGCCAAATATTACAAACAAAGAATTCTGAGTTTGAATCCAGCTTTGTTAGTTTTTCTGATTGTACAATTTTGTTATGTAAAGCTTATATGACATTGTAATTTATATTATTTATATTTCACGCTCCACTACTTTGTTACGATTTTTCGAAGCTTTGCATAAACTCTTGATGACAATAAAAATAATTGTTAAAATAAAATTGAAGAAAAGAAAGAATGTACCCATCTATATATATATATATATATATATATATATATATATATATATATATATATATATATATATATGTAATGTTAACTTTATAAACACATTTGTAAGTGCGAGATAAAATCGATTTATAGTACATTATTATTCTGTGACATTTGTGATATGGACATTCAGATTCTTCAATTTTATGCTGCTAACATGTGTTTAATCATATAAAAACATTCTCCTGCATCGTTATTACGCGCGATAATACCTCATCTGCTTTATAACTGACATCGCCGCCATTGCATTGCGTCAGCTCGTTTCATCTCTAGGAACTAACACAACCCGAACTAACCAAACGAACAAAGTGAATATAACATTTGCAAAGGTGAAGGAGTCGAGACGGACAGAAGGAGGACGACGCGCTGGAGGAATCTCTAATCTAGCGTGAGAGAAAATGGAGCACCGTTGTATGGAAGACTAGTGATTTTGTTGTTCTACTTTCGATGTAACAAGGAATCACTAATCATCCTACAAAGGCGCTCAAGGACTTCGCCTCTGCCTGAGACCTGCTTTCGGAACTAACAACATTCCCACTGCGTTCAATTTGCTCATCGATGCATTGTAATTTCGCACGAATAAATAATAACATTTCCTTCAACAATGTGATTGCAATTACTAATTAGTTGCGACTAGATAAGCGATGTAACATTTAAATTCGAGTCGCGTCCTGATAACTTTCGTAACTCGATTTCATTTTTGGAATATGCATACTAATATAGTTAAGGCTTAAGTGCATTGTTGTCATTGCGATTTATTCTGAGTATGTTTATAGTGTCGTTCATGTTCATCATTAAATTAAGGCTTTTTATATTGACGATTAATCTTATTTACGCAATATGAAAATGCTTTTTTATCATTTCGCACTTTCAATTTAATTCTCTGTAAATTATTTTTAAAAAACAATTTATGGAAAAAAAATTCTTAGAAGTTATTGTAAGAAAAAGTAATATAAAGAAGAGATATGCCATTATCATTTTAATTCTTTTATCTTTATGCTATTTTTGTCAATTCTTATTGACTGAACAAAAACTCTGTTTTCTGTTCCAGCGTACACGAGAATGCAGATCATTACTAAAACGTGGTGAGAGATGTATTCGGGGAAGAGGGGAGCCAAAGATGCGCTTTTATAACTTTTTTTTAGAAATATTTCTTGGGTAAACACATACAAACACTGAAAATGGAACCTGAAACAAGTACATTTGACATGCACCTGCAGAAACGCGCGCAACAACTTCCGGCAGAGTGCTGGGCACGGAAAGATAATTCGTAGAATTTACATCAAACACATATACACGCCACATGCCACACGCGAATCACCCTCTCCCAGGAAGATAAACGCTTGTGGTCGATGCTAACGTGACCTTGATGCGGCGATTCTATTCAAGAATGATAGTCGCCTATTACAGCTTGCAAAGCAAATCGATTCACGAATCGAGTACTGTTAACGTTTTCGATGTCGGCCTTTCTTTAGCGTAGAATTCTCTTATTTGTATCGTGTACCGCGAGGCACACATACTATCGATGACAGCGGGGGGTTTCAAACTGGCAAGCAACCGTGTTTCCCAATATTAGCATTCCCGAGAAAAGTATTTATTGTTTAAAGAAAATCCAAAGAGCGATCCGTTTTTTTTTTTAACATTGAATGCGCGCTAATTCTCACAGGAAATTATCGTATATGTTTCTTTTTCTCTTTTGTTATTATCGTTATAGATCTTGTCTCTTTCGCCCGACGGGGAATTGACGTGTTTTAATTTTGAATTATATAGATTGTGCCAACAATCGAGACGCTGGCACGAAACAGCCAATTTGAAACCGTTTAGACACAACTCTCCTGAACATCGAGACTTGACAACGCACACTTTTCCCATTACGTTTCTTTCCAAGCTTTTTGATAAATTCTTTACAAATTCTAATCATATGGAAGTAAGAATAAATGCGCATAGAGTGAATGCGAGGGCAACAGTGTCGAAGGAACGGAGAGGTCGAGCGAGAGAGAGAGAGAAAGAAAGAAAGAAAGATTTTACTAGGCAAACATACATTTGCGGGGAACAAACAAGTATGATACTGACAAGTATGATACTGACAAGTATGTTCGTGCGGAAAGAAACTGTATATAAAACCCACTCTGATGTCTCTGTCTCTTGGTTAATTGTCGCATACACCGTTTCTGCCGTTGCATTATTATAATAGTTATTAATTATTATTACTATATAATTATTGATAAGAATACCTTTGCGTTATTATATTCTATCCTAAATCTGTATTAATCATACCTTCATCCCCTAGCGAATGCATAGCATTCTTAGCGTTATAATGGGTAGAAATATTTAGGCTTCATGAAAGAGATGTATGTCTTTAAGGGGGCACCATCGGTGAAGAGGAAACCGTTCTCGAACGATTTGGAGTAGATGGATTAGAGAGTGATAAGAGAGTGAGTTTCGTACAATAAATCTGCCACAGAGCCCGTTATATTGGATATTGATGTGATATCTCAATGAATCGCCATTATTTCATTATGTTTTCTGATAATGGAACGAAGTATATTTTCAAGGTTTTTTTTTTATGCGTCTTGCAATTATTCTTCTACATTGTACAGAATCTTGAAAGAAACGTGTGAATTTGAGCGAATTACGTAGATCGTTCTGAGACTACGATGCTGTTGCCACTGCTATACATGTATATTTTAGCAGATAGTCCGTTACAATCATCTTCGTCGATGTGCAAAATCTTTACGCTGAGGTCTTCATACGAAAGTATGATCGCAAAAACAGCCAGATTGGCATACAACATGATCTCTGTAAATATATACTTATACTTATATAGCAACAACCTTGCGAAGTGACTGCTCGAACGGATGTACCTTTTGGTGTATACGTTTGGTAACAGTCGCGTAGATGACTTTCCAAGTGCAATTAAACGCGATTGTACTACAAAAAGCATTATTTAGCTGTCACAACCATTCGAGCGATCGTGATCATTAAAACCCCACTCTAAATAGTCAGTTTAATATTCGAGCGAGTACGCCTGGACGTGATCAACGTCACTTTTAAATGCGTACTCGTTGGAGAATTGAATTGTCATGATGTATGCCAGGCTGTATTAAGCCAGTACAACCTTTCTGATAAGAAAAAAAAAAAAGAAGTATGATTAACGTAATGATAAATCTAATAGCCATTTCCAGTTTTCCCGCGTACCGATGGTCAGCCCCAAGTTAACTCGTAATACCCCCTTTCCTCTCTCTCTCTCTCTCCTCCAGCCTTCTCCCTGAAAATACATTTAGTCTGGTCAGTAAACGTCATCCCTCCCGGGGTGCCTATAAAGGGCATTTTTAAGCATCTTGACCGTGAATCGAGTGTCCATTCAACGGAAGCGTACCGACCTGTAAGCAGTAAATGACGCATTCGCAGTCTGTTATTTGGGATAATCCCGCGTGGATTTGCATAGGTACACAAAAGGCTCGATATATTCGGCACGAAATGTCAAGTGAAATCACGATCCATATGTAAATTTGCGTGCGGGATGAACTTACAGATTCAGAGATCTCTCGTTTACTCTTGCAGCAAGATTTCTGTCAGCTGTTCACAGACGGACGTGCGCGACTGTATGTCTCCTTGATGAAATATCTCAAAGAATTGAAGTATTTTTTCTCCTTTGTTAATTATTTTTTTATTTTGGCGTTATTATGCTTTTACATCATTGTTTTAAATTCGGATGCGAAGAATAGAGAAAAAAATATTCTCTCTTTGCGTGTCCAGTTACGAGTACTATTATTCGAAATACATGCTTTTGTACATTTGTTTTGTCGATTATTCTGTACTGTCCAGTTTTGTAAAGTTTTAGACTTGGAATTGATAATGTCGCAATATTCCACGTTTATTGTTTTTTTTTGTTTTGTTTTGTTTGTTGTTTTTTTTTTTTTTTTTTACTTCTATTTTATAGTTGTCTTCATAGATGCGACAATCGGCCTTAGAAATGAATCTGAGATTGTTAGAAGTTTTTGACGTGTGTCAATCCAGTGTTTAAAATATAATTACAACTTATGATTAATAATTATAAGATACTTTTAATTAAAATATTTTTTTATAACAATTATTAAAAATACAAGAATATGTAATAACAAGCATAAAAGTAAAATTTTATGCGTAAACTTATATTCTAAGTATACACATAAAACTTATAACGATTTCAGATTTTAATCTCTTCTTTGAGGTTGATTGCATACTACAAAAAGATATGAATAAGAGATAGAAAAATAGGTGTGAATATTTGATGTCTTAATTCTAAGTACAAATCTTAGACAACACTGAATAATTCCAAGAAGATAGAGATCAAGTAAAATGGTTCAACGATTTTTAATGTTGAAGGTAACGTCACGACTGTCGATCTGCGAACAGCTTCGCGAAATAATTTCGGACCGCTGATCCAAACGGCGAAGAGCATCGCGATTTCCTTCATTCAAATAGGCATTCGAATGAGACCGCAAATAAAATTAAATCAAAACTGTATTTCGCGTAGCTTCGCTGCGTGTTATGTATTTTTCGTCTAGCGCGCGCACACACACACACACACACACACACACACACACACACACACATGCAACACACGCATACATACACGCTCTCATAATACTACATATAAATATAGACACATACATATACACATATACACGTACACTTATTAACT